AAAAAAAAAAAAAAAAAAAAAAAAAAAAAAGCCTTGTCCAAAGAAATATATTACTCTTTGAAGGAGTGTTTGCTACAGATTGCTGTCCAATTTCTCTACCATTATCTCCAATTCCAAATTAATGAATGTTTTATGGTTTTTATTAATGGGGTTTTACAGTGCTGGTGGGAAAGAATTAATACGGCAAAGGTTTAAATAAACATTACTCATCTTTGGCAATAGGAAACTACAACTCTCCTGACCGCAACATGGTTACAATAGATTATATAAAAAAGCCCATGATTCTATCTATGAATTGTTTTCCTATTTATGTTTTTAGACGGAGTTTCACTGTCTAGCCCAAAGCTTGCCTAGAACTCCTGAACTTAAGTGATCCTTCTGCCTTAGCCTCAGATGCTGCAGGGATGGCAATACAGCTCACAAGAAGAGCCCTTGCCTAGCATTGCATAAAGCCTTGAGTTTGCTCCCCAGCACTCAAAGAATGGTTTTCCTACTTGGAAACATGTTCTAGCTTCTCATCCCTTATCATCTCTATAACTGTTTTCATCTGAACTTCACTACCAGGGTGAAGTGCGTTTCAACTGCTTTTCGGGATGGAAGAGGGAGACCGCCAAGTGCTGACCTAGTACACACCCTTACTCCAACGCTGTCCCTGTCGGGTTTTTATCTTCCAAACACTCTCTCCAGTCCCTGTGTTGACTCATTTCTGAGTCATTCTCGTCTCACAAAACAATGTTCAAGTGTCTGATGGGATAAAGTAAGTCCAGAATGAGTTTATTACAAGTATGTGTGTGTAGAATGCGTCGGTGTGTGTGTGTGTGTGTGTGTGTGTGTGTGTGTGTGTGTGTGTCCCTTACTTCTCCATATGCAGCTATAGGCAAACTGATTAAAATATGTCATGATCAACGGTGAGTACTTCTTAAGTATCTCTCTCTCCACTAGTTAGCTGTCTGAAGGGACCGCATCAGAACATTTGCTAACATTACCACACCTTTGAGACCACTCTGTTAGTATTCTCCCTGCAGCCAGGCTATTGACTCAAACATGTTCACTACCTCTGCTTTCTCATTCTTTCAAAATCCAAGAGCCAAGTATAGATTCCAGCATTGGTTGACGGTATGTCTCTCATTTCTTCACATTTAAAAGGTAGTGACAAATGGCAGATTTCCCTCATTGGGGGCCAGACCTGCAGTTCTCAAGACGCCACTATAAGGGACATCTGAAGATGACAGCAGCAACACTCATTGCCATTATCAAGTCCAACCACCTATGCGATCTCACACCAGGTGCTGCGTCCTGGATTCCTATCAACAAGAGGGGTCAGCAATGCGTCCACTAAAAACAATGGCCTTCTCCAACCTCACCTCAGCTCCTATAGCAAAGCACCTAATAACAGCGTGAGTTCTTCCCACTTCAAAATAGAGACATGCGTGTCTAAGCACGCTGAGACGAAGAGATGACAGTCATTATACTCGGGAGGCTTGGCTGGCAGAAATGCGTGTAGGTGGCCACTAACTTTATAGGGGGGAGGGAGGCCTTCAATCCTAGGACTCCCCTTCCCCAGCCACGCCATGGAAAGCCGAGCCCCACACCCTCCGAGGCGCGGCGGGAGACTCGCGGGAGAGGACAAAAGGCGCTAGCGGCTGAAGACTCACCGAGGTCGGCCGCTGAGGGGCCCGGGGAGGCTCGGGGCTGACGTCCATCCTCTCGGCGCCGTCCGTCTCGTCGTCCGCCATCTTAAGGGAAACGAACGCCCGCAGTTCCCGACCCCCGGCCGCCAGCGAGCGGAAACCTGTGGCCAGCCCGACGCGCCGGAGACGACACTTTTACGACGGCCCCTGAAGTCAGGTTTGTCGCAGCACCCGGAGCGGCTTCCGGTCGGCTTCCCGGAAGCAGGCTTCCGACCTGCCGGGCGTAGGTTCCCACCCCCCGGTGCTCAGTCCTTGGTTCCCCGAGGCTGAGCCCCGAGCGGAGTCATCACAGCTGTCTTTAGCAATTTACCCAGGTAGGCGTGGTGAGATGAAAAAGCCGGGAAACCTAGTCCTTCGGTCCGTACAGGAAGACAAACTGGATCCAACGCCCTTGTGGAAAACAACGTGAAAAGAACACGGTGGATGTTAAGGAAACATCTAGAAACATTGGGGGGGGGGGAGTTCATACAAACTACATATTTATGCATTCGTGCATCTAGATGCGAAGGAATAGTTCCGAACCCCGAGGAAGCACCCAAGGCCAAGACCAGGGTTGGAGGACAAAAGTGATCAAGAACTAATTGAACATCACCTGTTGTTTTTGGTTTTTGTTTTTTACAAAATAAATAACCCAAGGCGGAGCTGTGGTGGCGCACACCTTTAATCCCAGCACTTGGGAAGGACAGGCTCCAAAGCTACACAGAAAAACCCTGTCTCAAAAAAAACAAAGAAAAAGAAAAAAAATGTTGTTTATATTAATAATAATATTGGTTGTTGTATTTAACTGGTTGTAAACCAGGCATCGGTGGTTTACAACTATAATGCTAGCTAGCATTTGAGAGGCTGAGATAGTAAGATTGCTACAAGTTGGAAGCCAGCAGAACTACATCGTTCCAGGTTAGTCTCGCTGCAGAGTAAGGCCCTGTCCCAAAGCAACACAAAGCAGAACACATGTGACCCCGTATAAAAACATTTTAAGCTAATTAAAAATTTTCTCCATCTTAAACTGTAATTAGTAAATATTGGTACAAACTACATATGCAGAAGATCTTGGGGAGGGGGTCCAATAATTTTAAGGAGTTTAATGTTATTTTGTCTTCCTTTTCTTTCTTTCTTTCTTTCTTTCTTTTTTTTTTTTTTTTTTTTTTTTCTGGAACTGAGGACCTAACCCAGGGCCTTCCGGCAAGTGCTCCACCACTGAGCTAAATCCCCAACACCTATTTTAAGGAGTTTAAAGTGATCTTGAGAAAGTAAACTTTCAGAAACACTGTTGTAGAATCATTCTTTCTATCTTGAGAAGATACATTCTTGGGTGAAAAATCAAGTGACTTTAAAAAATGTTTTATAAGACCAAAAAAAGGGATGTGTATACTAAGGCTGAGCTTGTAAAGTACTTATCTAATTAACATGCACAATGGATGTTCAAAGATTCAGTCCCTAGCACCACACACACACACAAACCAATAAACTGGGGTTATAGTTCAGAGGTAGAGTGTTTATGTAGCATGCATATTATCCTGGACTTAATCCTGAGTACTAAAAAAAAAAAAAAAAGCTATTTTTATATTAAACATGTTTAATGAAGAACACTAATCACCAAAATATTATTTTTGTGTTAATGAAAAAATTTTAATGAAGAATGCTAGTCATTGTCTGTCTTACGGTTACTATTACTATGGTCAAACACCAGATCAAAGTAACTTGGGGAGGAAAGGGTTTATTTGGCTTACACTTCCACATTACTGTTCATTAGCCAAGGAAGTCAGGATAGAAACTCAAAGCTGGGCAGGATCCAGAGACAGGAGCTGATGCAGCAGCCATGGAAGGGTGCTGATTACTGGCTGCTCATCGTGGCTTGCTCAGCCCGCTTTCTTTCTTTCTTTCTTTCTTTTTCTTTCTTTCTTTCTTTCTTTTTATTTAATGCCAAATGCTGTTTATTGAAGGAGGGAAAAGGTCTTAAATACAGGCTTACAGCACAATGGGAGAACCCTGGAGGGCAGAAGTTCTCTACCAATTTTACAATCTTTCATCTAAGCTGTTAACGCCCATTATGCAGGATACACAGACAAGGAACTTCCTTTAAGCATTCAGGAGGGTGGAACCCGGCAGGGAATTAGCATAGGGAGGATATCAAGGTCAAGGTCAACAAGCAAGACAACAGTTACCCAAAACAGGGGCCAGGACCCTACAGGTCCTCCCCCTTTTACTAAAAAATGAGCTTCTGACTTAGGTTGTGTGGGACATCAGCAGGTCACCTTACCCGTCATGGAGACGCCTGCCCAGGCCACACAGGCGCTCTGTCTTAGGTTGGTGAGCACCCCCCAGGCATTACCGTCTCTGAATACTCATTATCATACAGGCTCAATCGTGTATGAGCTGCAGAGTTAACTGCTGCCAAAGATCTCAAAGTAGCACTGGGCTTGCAATCTGTGTGTTCGACACAGAAAAGACCAACAGAGGTCCTATCCCACCATAGCCAGTAGGGTAAAGGCAACTGAGCCATTCCCTTCCTTAACGAGCCTTACTGCAAGTTGGAGTCCTTGTAAGATGGTATCCCAAATGCAAATGGAACTTGAGTTTATAAATTTATAATTTTCAAAGCCAATTGAAATGTATATGACTATTGAATTAAATTTATCATGCCCAATAGAATGAAAGATTAACTGTGGTAGCTACTTTTGCTGCCAGGGTCTCCACTGTGCTAGCTGTAGTAAGCAATTATGAAATGGTAATCCCAGAAACAGTAGCAGTGGTGGCCGCCATTGCTATAACAGCAACAACGGCAGCAGCAATGTCAAGTTCTCTTCTGGAGTGTGTGGACATCCACTGGCATGGATACAACTCCAGTAACACGAACCACCAAGGCCCAATTTTCTTGATCCCAGCAAGACTTAAGCTGGAAACTCTGCAAAAGAGCAACTAAGAACCATAAAGAAAAGACAGGCAGCTCATAAGGAGCATAACTAATGGTCTTATAATGGCTACATTCAGGCTCATAAATTTTAAGGTATCTTCAAAGGGGGGCTAAATGAATTTCAGGAGGCCAATAAATGTTGCACAGAGCCACTCCTGAAAAGTAGGTACAACACCAGCTTGAAGAGGACTGTGAAAATGAAAAGGCTTAGCTGACATGCTACTGTTAACAAATGGAGGTCAGTGAGCTTCAGGGTTATCCTTAATCTCCAAGGTGTCTGGGTGACACGTTCTCAAACATACTTGAAAAAGCAGTTACCATACATTACCTTCTCGAGAATCCAACCGCATGGCTACAGTTCCTAGGCTTACATTAATGCTTGCCCAAACTGGCCATATTGGGCTCTCAATCCCCATTGGCATCAAAGGGGGAGAGTTTTTCATGAAGACTTAATAGGTCTCTGTCACATTGGGCTTTAGCAGCAGCCACAGGGCGCGTTCAGTGCTCAGGAATCCAAAGAGGAACCTCATTATCCTGAGGAAAGACATAAAGAGAACCCCAGGTCCACACCAACACCAGATAGGGTGTCCTCCAAGTGCCAGTAGAAAGATCCTTCCATCACTCAAGTTAGCCTGCTTACTTAAAGAACCATGATCATCAGCCCAGGGGTAAGCCCACCCACAATGGGCTTCCCCATCAATCACTGGTTAAAGAAAATTCCCTATGTGCTTGCCCACAGCCTGATCTTGTAGAGACATTTTCTTAATTGAGGTTCCCTCCTCTCTGATGACTATAGTTGTGTCAAGTTGGCAAAACTAGCCAGCACAATCACCAAGATCTTCTAATTTTGTCTCCAGTCTCATACAGAAATGAGCCATTGATGTCCCTATAAAACATACCTTTTTGTTTCAGATAGGTATGGGTGACTTTTTAGATTTTTTTTTCTTTTTCTTTCTTTTTGGTTTTTCCAGACAAGGTTTCTCCATGCAGTTTTGGTTCCTGTTCTGGAGCTGGCTCTGTAGACCAGGCTGACCTTGAACTCACAGAGATCCACCTGCCTCTGCCTTCCGAGTGCTGGAATTAAAGGTGTGCACCACCACTGCCCAGCTAGATTTTTTTTTTTTAAATCAGAAGTTGAGTATCTCTTACCCAAAATGCTTGGAATTAGAATCATTTTGGATTTTGTGTTTTTTAGATATTGGAATGTTTTCACATCCATACTAAGATGTCTACATAAGACCCAAACCTAACACAAAATTATCCCCTGGAAATTATCTTCTATTTTGTAGTTTCTAGTTTGTTTGTTTGTTTGTTTACAAGAAGTATGTACTAGTATAAAGGTCTAATTTTAATTTTTTAAATTTATTTTTATTTTATGTCTATGGGTGTTTGGTCTCCATGTATGTCTGTATACCACCTGTGTTCAGTGCCCAAGGAAGCCAGAAGAGAGGGGTGGATTGTAGGGTCCTGGCCCCCCTATTTTGAGTAGCTGTTGCCTTGCTTGTCGACCTTGACCAGATGTCCTCCTTATGCTGATTCCCTCTTTCTGAATGCTCACTGGAGGTTCTTTGTTTATGTATCCTGCATAATGGGCATTAACAGCTTAGATGCAAGAATGTAGAACATCTGTAGCAAACTTCTGCCCTCTGGGGTTCTCCCATTGTGCTGTAAGCCTGTATTTAAGGCCTCCTCCCTCCTTCAATAAATGGCATTCAGCATTCTGCTGGGGCGAATGACCCCCTGTCTTTTGTCTCTATTTTTTAATCCACAGCCCCTTGCTCGGACATGATGAACCGGTGGTGGTAGCGCGGGTGTTACCGCAACAGTGGATCCCCTGAAACCAGTTACAGATGGTCATGAGTCACCTCATGGGTGCTGAGAATTGAACCCGGGTCCTCTGGACAGAGTAGCTAATATTCTTAACTGCTGAGCCATCTCTCTAGCCCCACAAAAGTCTATTTTAAAAAAATCTGTCCATCTTTTAAGAAAAGCATCCCCCCCCCCTTTTTTTTTCTTTTCTTTTTTTCTTTTTTAGAGACAGGGTTTTTCTGTGCAGCTCTGGCTATCCTGAATCTCACTCTCATCAGGCTGACATCAAACTTACAGAGATCCGCCTGCCTCTGCCTCCTGAGTGTTGGAATTAAAGGCGTGCACCACCACTGCTCTGCAAGAAAAGCATTTTCAGTGTCTTCCTGCTTTCCCAACCAGATGTGATTGGGCCTTTTCTTCCTGTGGGAGAAATAAT